ACACACACACACACACACACACACACACACACACACAAGTAACTGATCATATTCCAAAACTGCTTATGAGAACAATTCCAGTTCTGAAAAAAATACAAGATAATATGCTTAAATATGAAAAAGAAACAGGATTCTAGTATAGAGGGCCATTCACCGCAATGCTGTCTCAGATCTGGAACCCTCAAGAAACACTCTGATGGGAGTTTTTCAGCTTGAGCAGAAATAATACTGACATTTGGGACCAGCAAATGGCATAATGGTTACATCACTGAACTCCCACATGGCTGACCGTGGTTTGAGTCCCAGACCCGGCGGCTTCAAACTCACGCCAGGCACATATGTGTGCAAACAAAGTTTTTCATTTCTTGACATTGTTTTACTTTTTTCACACTGTTTTTAATTTTTGAGAACTTAACAAGTCTGCAGTAATGACTAGGAGGCTGATTTTTACTCTTGCTTACAGCGGACTATTGCCATGCTACCATTTACCTTTTGCGACACACCCATCAGGGAGGCTGATTCAGCACAACTCTGGACATTGTTATCATGTTCTCTGGACACGCCCTTCAACCACAGCCTTACCTGCTGCCAAAGCCTAACCCTTCCTCTCCCTTCCATTCACTTTTCCCTATGTTCTTCTTGCCTACCCAGCTATTTGCCTCAGAGGTGGACGCAGTTTTCCCAAACTTTGATAATATGAACTTAAATTTGTCATAACATCCTGGGGGAGAAAAATTCACATTTTGTCTTTAGTTATCTACCAGGACTGCCCTCTAGCCTGTTTCCCACTCATTGTATACGTGTGTGTGTGTGTGTGTGTGTGTGTGTGTATGTGTGTGTGTATATGCCATGGACAGTCATTTTTTGTCAATATTCTCTTTTAAATTTTGGTTAAAAATTTAAATTCTATTTTATCAAATATATATATACATGTACATTTTTAGTTCAAATAATAGCATCAGAAGTTTTATCATTTAAAGAAATAAGCAGCTTCCACCTCACATTCACCCAAGAGGAGAATGGAGGAGAAGGGATTGCGGTGTGACCATCCCCTCTGGGGGGTGATTTCTCACTTTCTTTCTCTATGTCTCTCTCTGTTTGGCGAGCGCATGCGCCCTATAGTGAAAATCTCTCCCAAAAAAAAGTTACAGAAAGGTCAATGGCACATGCAAGTCTCAAATGTTTCTGTTCCTTCCTACATGCTTGGTTGGTAGTCTGACTTGGTAAAGAAATCTAGCTTGGAAATAATTTTGCACAGAAATTTGAAAGGATTGCTTTCTTATTTTCAGTGTTGCTGCTGAGAAGTGTGGTATTATTTTAATTCCCAAACTCCGTGGGACTTTTCTAACCACCTTGCTGGAAATTCTAAATTTTCTCTTTAACTCTGATATTCACAAATGTCACAATGATGTGGGTTTTTTTTTTTTTTTTTTTTTTTTTTTTTTACATTCTCTATTCTCAGCCCCTGGTAAGCCCTTTCAACCTAGAGAAGAATTTCTTTAATTCTGGAAGTTTCTCTCATATATACATTTTTTAAAAATATCTTTTCCTCCTCACTTGGGAAATCTGTTTTGATTGAGGCTGGAGCCACTGAATGAATTCAATTCACTAATCATTTTCTCTTTTCATTCTCTCTCTCTCTCTCTCTCTCTCTCTCTCTCTCTTTTTCCCACTTCTTTGGCTGGGAGTTTTCTTCAGTTCTATTTTCCAATTCTTACTCTGAATGTTTTTAATTCGGTTCTCATATTTTTAATTTGCAAATAATGTTCCTTGTTGTTTGCATGTTTCACAGTATTATTTCTTTTATTTTTCTGAGAAATTGTTTTCTGAAATGTTCTACTTGTTGAGTTGCTTTCATTAAAAAGAAAATAAATAAATGTGTTGAGTTCAGTCTCTTTTTTCACATTAAAAGTATCTAGCAAACCTGAGCCAGTTAGGTGGTGAATCTCACATGGCCAACTATGCAGTTTGAGTTCCGGACACAGTGGTTTGGAAAACACGCTGGGCATGTGTTTGTGCATGCCCAGAATCTCAAGAGGAGAATGGAGGGGATGGGATTTCAGTGTGATTATTCCTCAAGGGGATGTTTTCTCACTTTCCCTCTCTCTTTCTCTTGCTGTCTCTCTCTTCAGAGATTGCTCTCACCTTATGCAAATTAAATTCAAAAAACAAGAAGTATCTAGTGATTTTTTAATTCTATGTTCATGTTTAAACAAGACACCTAAGCTCTGATCAAAAGCGTTTGGGACAATTCATATGTTTGGGTGAGGTTTGATAACTGTAGATATACTAAGTATACAAAATATCAATGCCTGTAGTCTTTATTTTTTTTCCCCTTGGGCAGTTACACTTTCCAGAAAATAATTTCCCTATGTCCTGACTGGCTGCAAGGAATCTATGCACAATTCAAGGAAAGAAAGCCGGGGTTCAGATTGTCATTTATTCCCTAATTTTTAACACTACTTCTCACACATCTTCTCAGATTGTTGTGTTTCCCAGTCCAAGGCTTTTCTGTTTGAATGTCTTTTTTTGTTTGTTTTTGTTTTGTTATTAGGTTTTTGCCACGTGCAAGAGAGGGAAAGGGAGAAGTCTTTTCCCGCCCCCCTACCAGGAGGGATAGCCACCCCGAAATCTTTTCTCCTCTCAGAATTTTGGGCATGTACATACACGCACACCCACCTGCACCCAGTGTGATTTTTCAAGCCACTAGTTCTGGGACTTAAACCATGGTCAGCCGTGTGGAAGTCCAGCTCCTTAACCACCATACCACCTTCTGGCTCTGTTGATTGAACATCTTTGAAAGGTAGGGTTTATGGCTAGCAGTTGGCTTAGTGACTAAGGTGCTGGACTCACAGATGACCGACCTCGGTTCAAGCCCTGGAGCTGATGGCTTGCTTTCTCACTATCTCTCTCTTTCTCTGTCTCTCTGTGGTCAAATTAAATAATAATAGTAATAAATAAAATAATTCTTTAAAAAGAAAATGTAGGGTTTTTTCAACCTTCTGCCAGAGTTGCTGAAGTATTCACAGCTGAGCTGATTGGAGGAGGTGTCTTGGATCTAATGCCTCAATTACAGACCCGAATTTTCAACTCCATTTGCACTACTTCTAGAGCAGGTTGTGCCTAATTCTTTCTCACATTCATCGGCAAGAATCTATGTTTCCTTTTATCTTTCCTCATGTAAGCACACTCATTTTTGGGCTTTCCCTCCTTTACGAGTGCCTTCTGGTGGCATCTCTCTTTTGCATTTCATGTCTCTTTCCTCTGTTGGGTGGATTTAAACTTCTGTCACTTCATGGTAGATTTGGTGGACCGGGGGAGATGGCTCATGTGTTCCATCCATCATGCAGACTACAGGTCCCTCAGACTCCTTCCACCGGACTTCACTCATTTATTTGACTAATATTCTCTCCACACAAGTATATTCCTGTGAATAATAAGAGATCCAAGGACATGTAAAATATATTGTTAATGCTAATGAAGTTTATATACAGGTTGAAAGACAAAATATACACACATTTAAAAATTCTAAAGGAAATTAATACAAACGTTGAAAATATGCTAAGCCCCTAATTTGGTGCTATATGCGATTAAGTGAAAGGAAGTGCTAAAGCTGAGTACTGCAGGCTTTCAGATGTTATTTCTTTGGTCTAGAAGGTGAGGACAAGTTTCTCTAAGAAAGTAGAACTTAAATTTCATAGAATGTGGAAAGCCTCTGAGAGGGAGCGAATTCAGGGTGAGAGGAATAGTAGAACATAGAGAAGGCATGGGGGAAGGGGTAGGAATTTGGCAAGAACAGATGATTCATATTAGGAAACTATAACGTGGTTACTCCACCCTCGAGGGAAAAAATATGCTAAGAAAAATATGGATAATCATATTTTTTTTAACCCACTGTATTGAGAGTCTAGGCTGTGATCCTAGGTGTGCCTTGAACTTGATGCATAATTAATGTGAGTCACTAGATGGCCTCACTTCTGACCCATACTGTGAATTTTACATAATGAAATTTCCCTTTCTTCTGCATAGTGGAACTCCCAGGCACAATTAGCCCCTCCTAATAAAATTAGCAGATAAAGAGCCAGGTTCTGCTCTCTGAATACTTTATATGGAAGAACTTTTGGATCTGCTTTGCTAAAAGTTTCTTGAAGTAATTTTTAAAAATAAATGAGTAGGTAGGTGTACTACTGCTACCAAGGAAGTGGTAGAGAACTTTCAGAAAGCGATAAGGTGACTTGAGGATAAAAGATTCTCTGGCACAGCAAATATGCTGAAGATGGAACCTGCATAAAAAATCAGTGTATAACTTAGCAAAGGAATGATGCATACTACCAAAAGAGGCGGGAGAAACAGGAGGAAATCATTCAGAATGGAACACTGTGCCTTTATAAGAAACTGAAATGTAATTAATTTATATTTATAGAAATTATGGCTATTTGGTGGCAGAAAGATGTAAAATATGCAAAATTAGAAATATATGGTATTTTAATATCCTTTGAAAGAACTAAAATCTGGATAGAAGATCCACCTGGGCATTAATAAGTTTTGTTTCATTCTTTTTCTTTATTCTTCTCCCACCCATAACATGGTCCAGCCCTTTATCCTGAGACCCTCCTAGGATCCCACAGTGTTCTCAGCTCATATTTGTCCTCCATCTTTTCCTTTTAGTCTTCTAAAACTAAAAGGACTTCCCAGAAATCCTTTATGTCAACTTCAGGTAATTCTAAATGGGCAGATGCATGTCTTATCCCTGGAAATGGTGGGAGTAGACAAGTATTTCCCTAGAACTCCTTTAAGGATGCTGCAGTTCTTCTTGAAGAAGAAGGGAGCCTGATCCTGCAAGGTCGATCCTTGTTGAAACTTGCTTTGGGAGGACAGTTCTTCCACTGGCAGTAACAGCTACAGTAGCCCCAAATCAGACTCCATACCATGCAATGGCCACAGGTGGGTCCAAGAAAGTCAAATTTGAAGTGTTCTTCTTAAGAGAAATTGTGTTTCCAAATGACATCTTTATTCACAGAAAAACCAACCATCTATAATTACAGTCGGTGCATTTTTCATCCATGGCATGGCACTGTGCTAAAGACCTTCTATTTATCCCTCCACATCCTCTCCATTTGTCTCCATTCTGCTCTGTGCCTGGCTAGGCAGACCTACAAGGACCACATCAACAAGACTCCTCTGCCCTCCAGCTTCCTCTTGGGTCTGGCCATTGAGAGACATGGCGAATCAGAGGGCAGGAGAAACCTCAGCTCCCTCCTGTGAAATGGCCTTGGGTTGCACATGTCATTGCATCTAGCCCAATGTTTTTCCTGGGTCAGTCACTGCTCCTGGCTCTCATCCTTTCAGGTATAGAAGTTTGTCCTACACAGCTATGCTACTAGCCTCAGGTTGCTGCTCTGCGTGTGGATTCACTATGCTGAGGCCCCAGCACACACACACACACACACACACACACACACACACCACACACATCCCTCAATAAACACTCTCCTGTAAATAAACTCTCCTGGAAGCATCCAAATGCAGGAATACCATCTGTTTTCTGCTAGGAACTGACAGAGGTGCTCACTCAAGAAAGAAGTCTACTCTTCATTAAAGATTTTATCTAAAAAGTCTATACTTGAAAAGAGGTGAACACACACACACGCACACGTGCACACACACACACACACAGAGCAAGTGAAAAAAAAAAAACAGCTTTGAAGTTAGAAGAACTTGGTTCAAGTTCCAGATCTTTCTGTTACAAACTATTTGTCCTTAAGCAAGGTATTCAAAAATTCAGTCTTGGTTGTTTAACCCTAAGATAAAGATAATAATAGTACCTACATCATAGAATTGGTGTGAAGATTAAATGAGTCCCTATAAAGCAAGCTTGTCATTTGTACTGCTAATAAGAATTATCACAGTAAGGGACCAGCAGTTAGAGTAATGGCTGTGTCACTGGACTCCCATGTAGTCGACCGTGGTTCACGTCCCGGACCCGATGGCTTAAAACTCACGTCGGGCATGTGTGCGTGCATGCCCAAGATCCCAAGAGGAGAATGAGAATGGAGGAGAAGGAATTGGGGCGTGACCATCCCCCCTGGGGGGTGATCTCTCGCTTTCTGTCTCTCTGTCTCTCTGGCGAGCGCACGTACCCTATAGCGAAAACCTCTCAAAAAAAAAAGAATTATCACAACAATAATAATAATAATAATAATATAAATAATTATTAATGACTGTTCTTCTGAAGGAGGCTTAATCTAGAATGCGGCCTTGAATTTGATCTTAAAAACTGGGACAGCTAAAAAGTATGTTGGTTGGCTCAGGTGGGACTTACCTCAGATATATTTCTTCACGCAGGGCATAAGAATTGTTTGTGATTTTCCATCAGTGCTCCCTTGATTTCTATAAAAAAAAAAAAAAAAAGAAAAGAAAAAAAAAAGTTACCTTGAGATTTTCACAAACATCAAGAAGCAGCCACTTCATTCATTGTCAAATGTAGTGACCACCATGCCCAGAAGTCCTCTCCAGGATGGTGAGATACAAGTTCTATTGCCTACGTCTACAACTTCATTCAAAAGCAAAACAAGAGCCACCATTCTCCTATCAGTGTGATAAATTAATCACTAGCTTTAATTAAGGACCACATTGCAGAGGCCTCTGTAATTGGAGAGTTAATTTAATTAGCTATTACAAGTTAAAGTAATTTCCACTTCCTTGAACTTAACTGTGTTGAACAGAGTGTTTTCAGGAAAACCTCATTACCTGCCCGATTATCCTAAGCCTTCCAGCCCATCTACTTTTGATCATGTTTGACTACAATCCAGGGGACAAAATCCTGCATGGGTTTAAAATCAGAAAGATGCTGACAGTATGTCCATGAAGCAGATGTACTTTTGTTGTACAAAGTTTACATATGTTAATAGATTTAGATTGGTCTGTGAACAAAGTCAGTTGCTATTTCTTGATTATTTATATAAATTAAAGGATGGCTTAACTTAATTCCTACCATATGTGCCCTCTGGCAATAAAGGTTGCTAAAGATTTTCTCTTTTCAAGGGATTGGAGAAGAAAGACTACCTACTATCTGCCAGGACTTAGCTGTATTTCATAAGGGGTGGTTTATTTTGGAACCTATAACGATCTAATCAAGAAAACCATGGATCTGATGTAACTTCCCCCTACTCAACTCCAATACCTCTCCTAGAAAAGACCATAAACAAACTACAAACTAAAGACATACAACAGTATAAGATTTCACCACCAGGCACAGCCCCAAATCAAGACTTGCAATTTTAAGGATCTTGACATCATGGCCAAAATAGACAAAGCAGATGTGGTTAGCCTGGTTGACCATAGATTATTGGTATAAAATGGCAGTAACATACAGAAACTCCTGCACCCAGAATCAAGGAATGAGGTGCTTCTAAAGACAAGAAAGGGAGGTTTGTGATTCTTTACCAGTATTGGCATGTACATATTAGAAAACAAACATATTCATTTGACACTATAATTAATCTCTTTTCTAGCACCCTTTTGATAGACAATCTCTAATACAAGATAAAATAGGAAGAAGGGGGACATTTGTCCTTTGTCTTCTATAACTCTATGAAGGCTGGGTTATGAAAACAGGAGTGGATAAGCCTTAAAATTCTTAGGTTGGATTTCCCAACTCAAGATTGAAACACTAGTGCAGCTGTTAAGTGCTGCTCATATGGAGTCAAGTCCACATGGCTGACCGCGATTCAAATCTTGGCCCCTGCAGCTTGAAAAACATGCTGGGCATGTATGCATGTGTGCCCAGGATTCTGACAGAGTGGAGAGAGGAAAAGTGATTGGGGTGTGACAATGCTTTATCGGAGGTGGTGTCTTTCTCTCTTTCTCACAAGCATATACACCCTCTGGCAATTAACAAAAACAAAAAGGTAGACATAATCTACCTCCACCTCTGAGGTGTCTTCTATCCCAAGTCAGAGAGGAAGGACAATGCCAAAACACCAGAATTAATTTTAAGCCCATTTCTGCCTGTAACTCATTTTGTGTCTTTGGCCAGGTAATATGACATCTGATGCTCAAAGCTGAAGTAAGATTAGCTAGTAAGTGAGCTGGCGCATGTACATGAGTTTGGAAAGTGTTAGTGTTCTACAAAAAAGGGTTGAATGGTGGAAAATTCAGCTCTGTATTTCTAGTTCCCAAAAGTGTCTATTAACCAGTAATAAAAAGGAGTATAAATGCTTTCATTATTATTCTTATATTTAGTGAAAAAGAAACTATAGGTATAAGCTAATTCATTTACCCACTTTATGTAATAAAATATTTTATATGAAAGTCATTGATGTGCCTCATAAACTAAACATTTTTTCTGTATCACCTTCATGAAAAAGCAATTTCTTAGACCAATAGCTTAGATAAAATCAAAGATGATAAATCTGTAAGAATTAACTATAAAAAATTGTGACACAGAGTTTTAACTTCATTTTTAAAGTAGCATTTTTTTTTTTACCTGATTGAAAGAATAGTATGTGCTCATTGGAGAACATTTGGGAAATATTTGTTTAAACACCATTAACCATAATAAGTATTATGGTTCCTTTTTTTCCTCTAGTCAAATATATGTATTCTTTTGAGAACCTTTTTGCTATAGGGTGTGTGCACTTCCCAGAGAGACAGAGATACAGAAAGCGAGAAATCACTCCCTAGGGGGGATAGCCATGCTGCAATCCCTTCTCCTCCATTCTCCTCTCGAGATTCTGGGCACACATGCACACATGTCCAGTGTGAGTTTCATGCCTCCGGGCCCAGGACTCAAACCATAGTCGACTACATGGGAGTCCAGCAACATAACCATTATGCCATCTGCTGATCCCTGATCATGCTTCTTAATATCTGCCTGCTTTGGACGTTTTAGCAATCTTGTACATATGAAAAGCCTAAGATAACCAAAGACTGTAGCAGTTCACTTTCAGACTACCTAGCAGATAAAAAGGAAGCCAATAAACAGAACAGAAACTCTCTGCTTTCCATACTTCTGAGTGAAAATAAGCTTTATCATGGATGCTAATTCCAAGACATGCAAATTCAGTGCTCTTAACAAGACTATTGAAACTTCCTACCAGTTTACATTGTATTTTTCTTTCTCTGGAAGAAACTATTAGAAATAATTTTATAGTCACTGACAACTATATTCCTCACTCAATTGCAGAAGAGAATAACAATTCCACAAGTCCCCTTTTTATACAAAAGGTGGAGGAGAATAAGCTTGGCCACTTACCTAGAAATTCTGGGTAAGTCAAAGATAGTGTTAAGTCTATAGGTCATCTGGAATTCTCCAGTAGGTACTTGTCACATTGACATAGTCCTTTCATGTGACTACATCTAGAACAAGGGACACTGGAAATATTAGGTTGTTGGAAGAGTCATGGTGTATTTTTTCTGTTTTTTTTTTATTTTATGCAAAAATGAATCATGACTTTTCCAACAACCAATACATTCACCACTACAAATCCTTACATAGTGCTTGTTTAAACTTGGTTTTTCTGATGCTTTTTAAGGGAAGAGTAAAGGTTTGTAAAAATCTAGTTGGCTAGTTGATTGAATGAACTTGTTTTCATCAACATCAAAAACCACAGGAGACAAAAGGGAAGAGAAGGAGATCTGAGGAACTGTCCTGAGAGGTCTCACTCCAAATTTACATTACCTCAAAACTCTTCTATTTGTCAATATTAAATTAGCAAATACGTAAGTTTTTAGAAATGCTGATTTCAGGAGTTGCCAGTTAGGAGAGTTAGTGCCTTGAGGTCTACGGAATTGAGGAAGGAAAACTGTTTATCAGCTTACACGTTTAATACCTCAAAACTGGGCGGAACCTAAATCCTGGGTTCTTCTGTACTTTAGTTACTGAGTGGTAGAGGAGACATGTGCCTTCTGGAAATTTGTATTATTTTCATGCACCCATGTTCTTACAAGTCAGTTGTCAAGGAGGTGCCACTTAAATAACAGCTACTTATTAACAGGGAACAGGCATTGCATTCCTTAACTAGTTGGAGTTTCTTGTTCCTTGTTACTCTCTTGGTTCTGCAGTCACCTGAAGTATTTGTACTATACCAAGAGCAGGAAAATCTCATCTTTATACACCTTTTACATCTCCATTTTTGTAGTTGGGATATAAATACTTAAGGGGAAAAAATATCTAAGGGTATATATAAAAGCAAATAATAATGGTCTACTTTACAAATGGCCAGACCTACATTAAGAAAGATGTGAACTCCCTCACTAATGATTGTGGGCATGAGGAGGGTGTGCGTGTGTGTGCTTTTGTTTTTTTAATAAAGTATATAATAAAATTTTTTAAAAAAAGAAATCAGCTCTATGAGATGTATGATTTGAGAATAGAAAGAAATTTGTCCAGAAATATAAAAGTGGCCTGTATAAGAGGAACATACCAAAAGAAGTACTGATGAAGAAAAAAATATGTCTTTTTAGAGCCCAACTAATTGTAAAGCAAGCCCTTTTGGCTGAAAACAATATTCATTTGACCTCCTCCTGATCCTTGAAGCCCTGGTTGACTATAGTCTCCTTTCTTCTGTCTAAAATCAACAGTAATGATTGCCATTTCTCAAAGCTCTCACCTAATCCTAGCATTGCTATGGGTTTCCAACAGAGTAACCCTTACATTCCATGGGTACAGGTAGGTATTATAGCTGGATCCCATATGGCCAAAATGCAGTTGAAGACACATACCCAATGACTTGAAAAACATTCCAGGCAATGTCATCCCAAAGCAGAAATATCCATTTGCATCCTACTTGGTCTTTTGTTCCTTCATTTCCGTAGGTCTGTATGTACGACCTTTATAATGTGCAACTTATTGAAGTGCATTTTGATGTGATTTCTAAAAGGCTTGTTTTTGAAAATATCTAACAGTTGCGTTTTGAAGCTACTAACTTCAAGAATATCTATTAAATCATTGATGCATTTATTTTCCTCTTTTTTTTTTTAAACCAGTTTTGGCAGATGACCTTCATAAGCATCCAAAACAGACATTAACATAGGTCATTTCACCATCATGCATCTTCCACTACATTGTTTTTTGTTCCAAAATTGAGGTATTGACATAGCAACAAAAGATGATTTCCTAAGTATGTGTGCAAAAGGTGACTTCCTTTTTTTCTGGGGATTAATTTTGGAGACAGAAAAAAAAAGTTCACCTTATAGTTGTGCAAATGGGTATGTATAAAGCCATTAGTTCAAATTAATTGCAGAATTCTCCAAGTAGCATTTCCTTTGTTTTTTTCTTTCATTTGCCCTTGAAACCCAAGATCACATCAACTTAGGTAAAAGGTTTGCTTTTAAATTGCAGGATTATTATTGTCTCTTGAAAAGGAAGCATCGAAATGTCTGTTCAG